CACCGCATCATGAAAAACCTTGAGGAATAGATGATAATAATGCCAATAATAGATCAAATTTAATATGAATAAAAAGTCCTTCAAAACTAACTTATAGTATACCTTTGAAGACGCTCAGTCAATGCTTGATGCCTTTTAAGAACATTAGACACTGCAATAAAATGGCAACAATTTATATAAGAAACATTTTTCTCATTGAAAGAAGTTCAAATAATATAATTAATAGAACTGCAAGCTGTACATCTTGCTCTAGTTGTCTCTAATCGTTTATCATCCTCCTGGGCAAAATTCTACATAACATAAAAGCAATTTTTAGATTAGTTCAGGCTTCAAATCCTAAATGAGACATCTATCCTTCAGCATGAAAAAATAATATAACATACCACTTCTCCGGTAAGAGCATGTGAGCGCCTCTTCGGATGTTCCATAGCCGATGCAAGTCTTACAGAAGTCAAATACAAGACAGAAACCAAATTAATAGTATTATATCCCGTAAAAAAACTAAAGACTTCAATAGATTTCCCTGGTCGATTATGATGATCTAACCAGAATAAAGATATTAAATCAAAATCTACATCCAAATCTTTAAAGATATGCTCTTTAGACAGTCCCTATGTTCTTCTTTTCAAATTGGTAATTTGAAATAGTATTTCAGGAGGTGAAAGATCATGGCTTTTAAAGCCATGCCTGGATTAAGTATCACCACAAAATTAAGGACATTTCCGGGACACCACTCTTATCTTCTCGATTGATTGATACTCAATCCCATTAAGGAAGTGTGAGACGAATTGCAATTAAAATAAGGCAAGTTTCTCCAATGATGTGTCAAAAATACCCGCCTAGCAGGAAAACTTCCTGACATCAACGCAATCAAACAAAAAAAAAAACTCCGTAGAACATGTGTTGCTAGTATAATTGGATCAACGCTAGGGTTATGAGAAATTCCCAGAGACCAAGGGAGCAGCAAAGAAAAATAAAAGCGTGCATAAGTTTACCGTGAAAAAAAATAGTTGCTAGGGTCGCGGCTCGCCGGGAACCGGTGGAGTGCAAATGGAGTAATGGAGCAGGGCCGCGAGGAAGCCGAAAGAAATACCTAGGGATGTTAAAACAAGGGACCGTCTAAGGCATGTTTCATTCGGTTTATGCTTACATAAAAAATCCTTTTAGAAAAGAAGATTGAGAAAAAGCCTTCCAATAAAATTCAATAATGAGATATGTTTAAGTAATATTTTTAAAAGTACTTATTAATACTTGAAAGTAAATTTAAATTGTTTGTTTATGAGTTCTGCTTTTGAGATTTTATTATAAAAGACATAATTGTCCATAAAATTTATGTACACGTAATATATATATATAATTTTCTAAAAAAATAATTAATTATCTACTAATTTATAATATCAAAAGTTTTCATTTTTAACTCATAATTTTGTAACATACAACATAATTTTACTACAAATAAGATAAAATTTAAATCATATTAATTTATTATTATACTTACAATATTTCGTTATTAATTTTTCTATAAAAAAAAACTCAACTTAAACAAAAAAAATATTTTGATGTTGGAAAATTAATTTATTTTCTTATCAAATAATAGATTTATGATGGGGGTCATGCCGGTAGGGCTTGATCCGACATTTTGCTTTTGAAACTCCGTTTTGAGACAAAGTGGTCCGAAGCTGGGTCGGACAGTGGGTTCAGAGATTAGGGGTGTCAAAATTGAATTGTGGGTAGGTTTTAGGTCGAATTCAAGAATGACTCGTTATTGTTTGACACAACCTAAATTTAATCCATTTTTTTACATGCAGATCAAAATTTTCAACTCGGACCCGACCCATCGGGTTTCTGAGTTGACCCAACTCGACATGAAAGCACAATTACCCGCCTCGCAAATGGGAGGTGAACTTCATCGAAGGAGTTGAACATCGTCAAAGGAGGAAGGAGCATTATCGACCCAATAGGAAGGAACGTCGTCGAAGGAGGAAGAAACGTCGTAGACTCGAGAGGACAAAACGTCATCAAACATTGTCGAAGGATGAAGGAACATCATCGACACGATAGGAATATTCAGGAAGGACTGAAGGAATGTCATCGAACGCAAAAGGTCGAAGGCGGAAGGCAAAAGCGCAGCTAGGGCTCGTAGTCAGAAGTGGAATGGCTTAATCACTTATTCGCTTATACATCTGGTGAAGCAGGTCAAAATCGAGTTCAAATTGGGCCTCCAGGTTGACTCGAACCTGACCTGGAATTCAAAGCGGGTTGGACATCGGGATCCGAACCTGATCCGTTCTTAAATATTGTTGACCCTAACCCGAAAAATTCGGGCCAAGTTCAGTTGAGTTTTCATGTCGTGTCAATTTTTGACACCCCTATCAAGGATGCTTCTCCAATGGGTCTGTGTTTCCATCAGTCATCTGACTTCATAATAGAATTTGTGTTATCAAGAATATTTAACATTGAGTAATGTTGATAAAATTTACAAGGCCATCACATCATTAAGCTTTGCTAGGTGATATATTGTATATGTGAGTGCTTCTTTAAGTGTCAATTTAAGGAGCAATTATTCTGTGCGGTCACCGGATGATTCTCCTATCTGATTACGCACTCGGTAACGAGCGGTATCGAGCGCGATACATTTTTGTGGCTACATAGCATATTTTTATTGGGCTTCGGACGAATCCGGACACCGCACATAATAATTAAAAATCATTATACTTTAAAGGAATGATTTTTCCAAAAAATTTATCATAAAAGCTAAGGCATAGACAAGCATATCCACGATAACTTTAGCCCAACAATGCCCCAAAGTTGTTAAGCTAATAAGAGTTTTTAATCTAAGCAACTTACTTTACCTTATAGGAAATTTGTTGAATTAGTGATTCTCATTTGGGCTTCTAGTGAAACTTACTGATTGGCTCGCTAATATTTTATATGGTACAATTTTTTATTGTTTTCTAAAACAATTTTTTAGTACAAAAGATTTTAATTAGATTTTTTTTGGATTTTTACATACATACCACTTTACAACTTGTGTATTACATATTTAACACCTAATTCTTAAAAATAACACTCCTACCACCTATTCTCTATTTTCACAACAAAATTACCACTCCGTTGAAATAAAACCTCACTCCGTCAACCACCGCAAAATCCTCTTCTCTCTCCAGCTGCGTGGCTCTTCTCTCGCGGGCTGGAGATCTCCGCCTATCTTCCTCTCGCGGGCTGCAAAAGCCGATTAATGTGGTTTACTTCATGATCAGGTAAGAAGCACAAGGTAAACAAGAAGCCAATTTTGCCTTTACAGATGTAATACATAGCTCATTGGTTGCAGAAAGCAAGCCCTTTGCAGCAGCTTCCATCTTAATCTGTGACAGCTTCCATTCTTTTTCCACAAGGAATACCCAAGAAGAGTAGAAACTCACGTGCAAAAGAGTGATATTGTACATTCTTATTTGGCTTAAATATTTCGAATCAGAAACGGTGGAAACATCAAATTTATTTTGAATTGCTGCTGGGAAGTTTCAGTTAACAAAAAAGTAAGCTGAAAAAGACAAAGGATTAAACTGCAGATCTCAGATCATTCAATATCATTCACCATGGAAATAAGCTCATAGTTCAAATGGTTTACGAAACTGCAGGTTCTACGGTGGAAGAGCAGATACAGAGGGATTCAATCGGGGGAAAATCGCGATGATACATGCTCGGACAGAGCAGCTGACGCTGAAAAAAACTGTTCTCCAACGAAAAGACCACGCATGAAGGAAGAGAAAACGGAGTGAGGTATTCTGTTAACGGAGTGATAATTTTGTTGTGAAAATATAGAATAGATGGTAGGAGTGTAATATTTAAGAATTAACATGCTATCAAAAATCTTTTCTATCCTCAGGATCCAATCCTCAG